TGATAAAGCTCGCTAATTATTTATTGTACAGCATTCCCTTTTCATTTCGCCATGTCTGTTTTAGGTTATATATATAAAATAAATAATTCAGATGTGTTCAAGATTCGGATTTTATGAGTTCTGTTTGTTATATCGTTAAAGTTTGTTTAATTGATTGCTAATGACAATTGTAACTTAACTATCATACATTGATGTACTCAATTAATGGATATGTTTTTTGATAGGATCGAAATTTTTAATTTATCGGTTTCTTTTATTTCATCGAAAATATTCAGTATTAGACATATTTCGATATTAACTTTCACTTTCATTTACTAAAACTGTAACCAACACGATGCTAGTAGGCTTGAAATTACTATTATTATTAGTTTAATGATGTATAATAAGAATGGTACAATTACAGAGTTAAAAATAGTTGTGAAGTGGTTACTTATATTCACACAAGTAGTATATAACGATGATCGGGCATTGAATGTAGTTCAGTAGAAGATCGATAACGAGAGAACGGAAATGAAACGCAATCGGCATGAAAATGCATGAACAATTATAATAGGAGACGATGGACAGATATTTGTAGAAGGAATGGTCAAAGTTGAGACAATTGATTGATAGTTTGCAAATTAACTGTTTACTGTATGGTTGTCAGATTGTAGTGAGACAGTCTGTAATTTTCTTATCATATACATTTGATTGTCCCCATTCGTGTTAAGAATTATTGAAATAATGGCCTGATTTTATTTGTATCAAATAACTTAACAAGTAGTCATATGCATTTGTTACCTTAATAATTACTAAGTGTAAAAGGAAAATATCATCCTTATTATTTATGCTCAATTAAATGTTCATAATAATAATAAACAGGATACTTCAACAATCTGTCATTCTTTTCATTTCATATTCTTTGTACTAAACTACTTATATTGACCTGTGAATGTGGAAAATTTAATTTAACTGATAGAAAAATAAACAAAATTCTAATTAATTATCCATTCAGATTAGCAAAAATTGTACAAGGACAATCTCCTAAATATAATAAAGAGTTTTAAAGAAAATCTGTTGGAAAACAGCTTTGAATTAAAGTATATTGAAGGTGAATAAATAAGAATAATGAATAATTTATAAAAGAAACTCTTCTGATAATAATGATCATATGCTCACTAGTGACTGACTTCAAGAGATATTTCTTGGAGTTCTAGTGAGAAGCAGTGATCAGTGGAGTTTAAACCATGTCTATTGTGAGATAGAAACTTACTGAAGATATTAGTGAATGGTTGCTCAATTTCATGGATTGGTTGAAGTTAGATAATAAGACCATCGGACGCCGCCTCGTTTGCAGTGAAGAAGGTTTATCCACTCTTTTTATTCTACCAAATTCTAATCTTCTAAATTCTTCATGTCCCTATCCTTTTTCTCTCCTCAAATTTATTTCACTGTATTATACTCCTTGAATAACATCTTCAAACCATAATCTTTCGGATTACTGCTTATACTCTTACAACTTCTACCACTATGGGATTTGAATCGACAACTTCATCTCTGTACTAATGTGGTATGGCAACTCGAACTGATGTACATGCGTACGAAGTTCTACGTTGTGACTGACTGACATTCAAAAGTATGATCAAGTCATTAACAGAAGAGGTTTCTGAGGATTTCCACAATGAGACGAAACGGCCGTCCAGTGATTCCAGGTTTTCCATTGTGGTCTAGCTTCAAATGACTCATGATTTTAACTATAAATCACTAACAGCAATTCAGGCAGAATACAAACATTGACGTTTGATAATCCACCAATAACATTGTTCTCAATCTATCTAGCTATCGCAAAATAAGCGAAATGTGTACGAAACATTCACACAGCATATTTCATTTATTAAAACTTGGAGTAATTAGTTTGATAACAGGTGTCCGACGTGGCTATGGATGCATATTAATCTGATTCACTATCGACAAAATTCTGATTAACTATTCGGATATTCGCATCAATTATCTTTTCATTTTATACAGAATTAAAACAAGCTAATGGTACGTTTGATCATATTGAGTGATTTGATACTAAAAATAGGATGGGAACTCTATTCTTCTCATAAAGGATGATGAGAAGCGTAGCATTCAAATCTCGAGTTTGGCTTTTATCAGCAAATTTATCTTTATTTTAAATAGTAGTCATATAATGCCTTTTATAATAAAGTTATCAAAACTGTGCAGTAGTCAAACATGAAATCTTATGCTAAATAATTTACGTTTGGTAATTAGTAAATTGAATAAATTGGGTACATCGGTGCATAAGTCTATTGGTTTGTCAGGTTCAGAACTTTCGAGTGAAATCAAATTTCTTTGTTTGTCTATGTAGATTCAGTACCGACACACCAATCATACAATTTCAGGTATATGAAAGATTTAGAACTTAGAGAATATGATAAATTTATTTCATTCTACATTATTTCCAATCGTTGTTTTAAGAAGCTTTGTTAGAGTGACATAACCTATAAAGTTCCCAAAACGACACATCTATTTACAAATCGTTCATATTTGAGAATATCAACTGACGATATTTTGTAACGTTATATGTGAGGGTATACACATTACATTTCATTTGAAAATGTTCACACTTTTCATTCGTTAGTATTACGTATTTGTTTATTTTTATTATTATTTTTTATTATTAGCTTCATTCAATATTATATTTTTGGTACAATATAGAATTCTCAGCACAAAGTACTTCAACAAGTTTCCGTTTCTTACTTATTCGTCCTTCCTGACAATAAATATTGAGTGATCGCCAGTTAGAAGTTAGCAGCCCAGTCACTAGACATCTGGATAATGTACATTCTTCTCGCGGCATATTGCCAGCAATCACGATATCTCTGATTAGGCCTTCTGTGACCTTTACAGCGAAAGGTCTTACACTTTTCAGAAACGCACCTGAATAGGTTGTGCGATTAATAGACATAATGATGTATTAAAACAAACGAAATTAGATAACTTGTTGAAATATCTAGATGACAGGAACAGGTAGCCTAGATGTTTAAACAGGCCACCAGTCGATCCATGATGTCCACTTGGCATATATATGCATTTTATTTTTCCATGGCCCTTAACACTACTTTTACACATATTTTAAAAATGTCTTCCTAGTTCAAGCACTATTGAGTTTGTGTTCTGCTTACATACCATTTGTTATAATTGTTATATCCCGTGGAGAATTATGGATGGTAACTCTGAGGATTATTTATGAATCAATGTGATATGTATATTTCCTATTATATAATTGTTAAGTGATTAAACTATTCGTGTTCCTCTTATCATAAGCTTTATTTTGACCTATGAACTATTATTATACGATTTACCATTCTTGAGTTATCCCTAGTCCATTAATTACTGTTCCCCCAATTCACAGCGACGTTTGACCAAATCTTGTACACATGTTATTTTATGGTGTGATGTGGTCAGTTTGTTTGTATATAAACGCAGTATGTTTGAGAATAATGATTCATATTAGTGTTCTGGACTTAACTGACTGGGCTAGGCAGGAAGCAGGATCGATAAGCACTCTAGACTGCTCGTACGGCTTTTGTGTATCATTGGACGATCAATAAGTTCGCCTTTCACTAAGTGGTGGTCTTATCACCTCATATATTAAACAGGGCACGTACTCACGCAATCGATATAACAATAATAATGTTAAGTTGACCAAATTATGAACCTTTTTATTTGGTTAAGTTTCATATTGTTCAAACTGTTCTTTTACATTCGTTGGTCTCAATAAAGAAAATAGGTACTAATTACCGTTGCAATCTTGTTGAACATCATGTTAATTCTTTAATTTGATGCCTTACTCCATTATTAACTGCGTATTTTAATATACATAAGACACGCGACATTTATGAGAACTATATGAACGAAAGTAAATATTAAATATCGTGGCTTACAAGACATAGATTGTTGTTAGTTTCCATAATTATGAACTTATAACTTTACGTATTCTTCGAACGATTGCATTTGACTCGTCGTTAAGAATTTTCAGAAATTATATTGCATATACACCGTGAATATCCTAATACATCACTCAACCTACTATTTTATATTATATATATAGGACTAATTGGTCACTATACTTTAGGAAACCTTGGAATGTTTTCGTATGAAAACTGGATTACTAATGTTTGGCTATTTTTACAGATGCGCGAAATCAGTGTTATTATTATTATGACTTCTATTAAAAATATGAAAACCTACTCGCCTAGATCCATCTTCTCTTATTCTCTTATATTGCGGGGTTTGTAAAATTACAGTTGAAAACGGAAGAAGCAGTAGATCCGAAGAAAAATCGAGAAATTCATCCGAGTCTTAACCAAAAGGGAATTAATTCAGCTATTAATCTAAATGTTTCATACATTAGTTCTTAAACACATTAGTTAAGATAAAAATTACACAATTCTATAGATATTTAGAGCACTCAAATAACTTTAAGATTTACATAACTGTATTGTATCGTAACGTCAAATTTTAAGTGTCTTCAACATATTTTCTGTTAAATGAAAAACTTTCCATTTCCAATTGAAGTTAGACATTAAAACCGTTCGATGCCGGCCATCTCAGTGGTCTAGTGGTTAAGCGCTCGCGCACGAGACTGATAGGTCCTGGGTTCGAATCTCACGGGGCGGGATAGTGAATGCGCACTGCTGAGTTCTACAATAGGACGAAACGACCGTCCAGTTCTTCCAGGTTTTCCATGGTTGTCTAGCTTCAATTGACTAATGATCTCAACTATATAAAAAAACTGATTGAAATGTTTTTATTTATTGACAAAGTATATCACTTAACATGTAATCAACAGAATTGCTTTTTTTCTAAATCTTATTCAACGACTAACATGGGTAAAATTAATCGGCATACAGTGACTTATACAAAGACATGAAGACAATTTGCAAGGATCATTTTATTCAATTTCTATGTTTAGCATACAGAAATTAACATTTATCAAATGGATTTAATCATTAAACTTCCATTAATCCACCACGATATTCTTTTATAGGAAACCAACGTTTATCATTCATTGTTTTCCACCATTTAGGAAACTGTGATCTTTGATAACTAAAATATACAATATAGAATAAAATAAATGAATACTTTAATTCACAAGCATGGTTAGCAGAGATGGATAGTGGCTAGCAGTGGAATCCAGGACGCGCGTTTCGTCCTATTTGGGACTCGTCAGCTGAATGTACCTGCATCTCAGAGTTGATGTTCACTCTGGGACTCGAACCCAGTACCCTCGCTTCAAACACCATCGCGTTATCCACTCGGCCACTGAGTCCTGATAGCCACTTGCGTGTGCGATGGGGTGAAGTTTAAATTCAACTTAGTATTGTTTGTTTGAATCTTCCCGTCGATTTGTTAGGACTGCAACTGGTCAGTCTATCAGGACTCAGTGGCCGAGTGGATAACGCGATGGCGTTTGAAGCAAGGGCACTGGGTTCGAGTCCCAGAGTGAACATCGACTCTGGGATGCAGGTACATTCAGCTGACGAGTCCCAAATAGGACGAAATGCGCGTCCTGGATTCCACTGCTAACCACTATCCATCTCTGCCAACCATGCTTGTGAATTAAGGTATATCGAGGCAATACGCACAGTATGCACATATGCCAATTAGAGACTGACCAGTTGCAGTCCTAACAAATCGATGGGAAGATTCAAACAAACAATACTAAGTTGAATTTAAATGAATACTTTATTTGTGTACTTTCTAAAATACATTATAGTGTGTCGTTCATATATTAAGCCGATTATATTTTATTCTAGCTTCTGGTCAAGCCAATATACCTATCCATCTTGAGTCATGTTTTGACCTTATTGATTATTCACTTATTAACCCTGACTATTTTTTGAATGGGGTTATCTGTTTGTACATTTTTTATTATATTCATCATATGTTTGTAATTTATTTTTATCTGACTATAAATATTGATCAACACTTGATTAAAGCGAGTTGGATTACCCTCCATCTCCAATGTGTCATTTTTGCTTCACTCTCTTTTATTTGCTTCATCCCTCTGATTTCCTGTTCAGATCAATGAGTGTACAAAATATATGTATTCAAAATCCATTCTCGTATTTGACTTATTTAACTCCGTTATTCATAAACGCAGATTAAGTCATGTATTACATACGAGGATAAGTAGGATGTATATTTTGACAATAATCATTCATATGATTTAATTGGAGTCAGATCATGACCTACAACATTACTATTGTGATAATGTAACCCATACTATAGAAATAAATTCATGTAACTCTTCAAATAATCTTGAAAAAGGTTTAACAATAAGTGTTCGGGTATAGTATTTTATTAATGGAAAATAAACAAAAGTATAAGGTATTCATATGTTTTTACATGACAACAGCGTTTACAAAATCCTTTCTTGGTTGCTTTTTTATTTAAATTAGATATGTATTTTTGTACCGGAAATGATGTTTATGGCCTACAGGTAACCTAATATACGATTGTGAATATATGTTGCAACCATATTATTATATTATTGTAATAATGTTTGTTTTTGAACTTCCTCAGAATGATATTTTTGAACAGTTTTATCTTTTTTTTCTAAATTATACTCCGATGAACGAACTATTTAGTCGTCTCCTGTATGGAGCTGGAACGTGGAGAACTACTGCATCCGTTGTCAAGAAGGTACAAGAATTTATAAACAGTTGTTTACGCAAAATACTCAACATTCACTAGCCGAATACTATCAGCAACAGCGTTTTATGGGGGAGAACAAACCAGCTTCCAGGTGAAGAGGAAATTAGGAAAAGACATTGGAAGTGGATAGGACATACATTGAGGAAATCACCAAACTGCATCACGAGGCAATCCGTAACTTGGGATCCGGAAGGGAAGCGGAAAATAGGAAGGATGAATATTAACTGGAAAGGATTGCTCAGGATATGGTTGGATAGAGAGTGCTGGTGTGCGGCCTATTATCCTCCACTAGGAGTAACAGGCGTAAGTAAGTAAGTAAATTTTGTTGTTTCAATCTTATGTTTCAATACTTTTCTCTATTTTATGCATTTTATGAAAAAGAGTTGGTGTATATTCATTTCTCTGAGTGCTCCCTCGTTTTCCAGGTACTTGATTATAATAGTCACTGTAAACAGATTAAGTTTATATATATATATATATATATATATATATCGAACATTGATACTTTGATATAATTTTGGGGATTTGCGGAGATTGTATTGTTTTCAAAGATGGATTCACGAATCAATCTAACCTGGAAGCACTGGACGGCGCACCGCTGAGGAGCAACATACTAGGATGAGATCATCGTCCAGTGTTTTCACGTTTTCAATGGTGGTTTATCTTGTATTGATTCGTGAATTCAACTTTGATATAATCCCTTAGAAGTCGAAGCTATAGTGTGGATTTCTAGAATGTTAAACCCATTCTTTTAAATGTTTTTAAAATGAATTTCAAGTCTAGATATTATTTATGGATTACAAGTAGAAATCACAGTTGTCCTCCTTAGTCTGTTGATAAGTTTTACTGATAGATAGATATTTTTTGAGCATATTAACAATCAAATGTTTTCATTTTCTTATAAACTGAGGATGTATTCTTGGAAGAAACTATACTCTGGACTTTTTCTAATGAGGCTTATAGGATGTCAGTGTCCATTACAAAAGTTAGGTTATTCTCTTTCTAAACATTTTCAAATAACATGCATATATCACAATGTGCGTATTAATGAAAAACCAGTTGACATCATAAGCAATGTTTGTACATTAAACGCATGATGACAGCTTCTGAACCTTTTATCAGGGCGCCATACGTTAATAAATTCCGTTTGTAATACCAAGCTACTGTTTTCAAAACCTCCATACAAAAATACTTTTTTATATACAACTTATTATTATTACACAATGACTACAGAATAATAACAAAGAAGACTAAAAAGTCACATAGGGCTTCTGTATATTGTAGCAAAACTTTAAATCATACTAATCTAGCAGTATAAATGATATTCCTTTACGTAATCGATTAATAAAGTTATCAGGAATATTTGATTACACAACTTTTAAAAGTACTTGATCACTGTTTTAATAATTTAATGTACCTTAGTGATCAAGAACAGGTCTACATATCCCTTCTCTAGTCACAGTTTTATTATCAGTTTTAGCAAAACTAACTTTCTGTCCAAAATAATGTAGGATGAAATAGGTTCGAACCATTGACTTAATGGTTGAAAGATGGAAGACTGATAATTAGTTTTCAAAAATGTAGATCACAGAAGAGGGTGGATTAACAAAATTGCTTGCAAACTCATTATTCCAGCTCCATAGTCTATATAGTAACTGAAATGGTTTGGAGACATAAACCATGAAAATGGTGAAATCATCGTAGAATAGGTAAAAAAAAACTTAATTAAACAACAAATAATAATAAAACGATAAACTCACTAATATGGACTATTGTCCATAAATGAATTTGAATCTAATAATGCTTCAGGTATTTCACTTTTTAAATAACCATGTGGATTCGCATTTGAACTGATGGCAAACATATATATGACAACTATATAACATAATCATCAAAATGAATAAGAATTATTTCATACATTAATACATATTACTTTAATTCATATTAAGTAGTATATTAAAAGTGATCCATGAAATAAACGATAAAAATCAGAACAAGCATAAAATTCTATGTAAATTTTCTTTTTAGCAGATTTTAACATCTGATATAATGTATTGAATCAATTTCTGTTTTCCATTCACCTTCCTTTGATTTTAAGTTCGCTGTAAGTTGATTATTTTATTGCTGACTATAGGCTAATCATTGAATTTTACATATCCATTATAAAGAACTCATTTACTACTGTTGATCTACCATGAGAAATTCATAAATTATTGTATATTAGTGAACTTGTTCTCTGTATTCTCTGTATTTACACATCACTTATATTTCTCCCAAGTTGTTGTAGCTAGATATAGAAAAACGAATCCAATAAATCGACACCAGCGTTTAGGTGACAGTGCTCAGACTGGATTTTAAGGCTTCCTCTTTGTAACCTTGTAAATAGGTGGAAACTAATTTATTGCAACATATAAGTCAAAAACACACACTTGGAAATCTAACCATAAATGTTATATCATAACTTATGACTAATTTAACAGTTGAATACATGAGTCAATTAAAGCTCGACTAGCGGAGTTCAACCAGCTCTGTTGTGAGATAGAAACTCACTGAAGACATTGGTGAACGATGGCACGATTTCGTTGATTGGTGAAAGTTAGACAATAATACTGCTGAATGCCAGCTCAGTGGTCTAGAGATTAAGTGTTAGCGCGCGAAACTGATAGGTCTTCGGTTCGAGTCCCCTTTGTATGGGATCGTGATTGGGTACTGCTGAGGAGTTCCATACTAAGACCAACCGGCCTTCAAGTGTTTCTAGGTTTTCTATGATGATTTAGCTTTGACTGACTCATGAATTCAACTATAAAATTACTAATATCTCTACAAAACCCACTTTCTGGTTATGAACACTGTTTTTCACTGTTTTTTTTCAAAAAATCATCACTGTTTGATGAACTTGAATTATAATAAAACATTTTCTTCAGATCTTACAACTTGTCATCATTATAAAAAATATATGATGAAAAGGGGATTTGGGGAGATTTCAGTATATTTCAAAGTTGAAATCATGAGTCAATTGAAGCTAGACCACCATCGAAAACTTGGAAGCACTGGACGGCCGTTTCGTCCTATTATGGGACTCCTTAGCAGTGCGCACCCACGATCCCGCACTCGCGAGATTCGAACCCAGGATCTACCAGTTATGGCTCAGTGGTCTATCGGTTAAGGGCTCTGGCTCGTAACTAGTAGATCCTGGGTTCGAATCTCGCGAGTGCGGGATCGTGGGTGCGCACTGCTAAGGAGTCCCATAATAGGACGAAACGGCCGCCCAGTGCTTCCAAGTTTCCGATGGTGGTCTAGCTTCAATTAACTAATGATTTCAACTTTGAAATATATGATGAAATATTTTAGCCGATATTTTATCAGATTCAAAGGTTTTTTTTGGCCTATTCAAGAAATTATCCTGTTGTAAACAAATTTTATTCAATGAATATACTCAAAATGAATCCTAAAACATACGAATCATGATTTTTAACATTCTTGTTTTTATTCAACAATTTATACTAAATTTCAATCATCAAATGCTCAATTATATTACACTATAAAGTATTGTATTTTGGTATATTTTAAATTAAAGAATCACTTCATTATCAAGTAAACACCATTATTCTCTGATTTTCTCATTGTAAACTAAGTAAGTAAACATTAAATAGATAACGAAATGATTGAAGTTGTTTAAATATTCTAAAACTGTTATTGAAAAATCCTTATGAGTAATTTAAAAAATAAAAGTTTAAGTTCAATAAAATGGAAACACAATTTTACGTTTATTGAAATTAGATGTTATGAAAAGCTAAGTATCAGACTATATATGGAAACGGAGATTGTAGTGAACAGAACACCGGTTGGGGACAATCGAATGTATTTGAGCAAAGATTACAGACTATCTCAGTAAATTCTGATAACCAAACAATGAACAGTCAATTTGCAAATTAACAACCAATTGTTTCAATCTTCACTGTTTCTTCTCTTATTCCATTTCTCATGCATTTTCCAAACGATTGCGCTTCATTTCAGTTCTTTCCTCATCGGTCTTCTGCCAAAATACATTCTATGTCTGATCATCGCCATATACTACTTATATGGATATAAGTAGACCACACCACAAGATGATTAATTTTTTGAGTTTTTTTTAATACTTTACTTTAAACAGACCTAAGTTTAAACAAACGCCTGCAAACTAATAAGTGCTTGAAAACTGTTTCGTCTCAGTATGAAACTTTCAGCAGTATGAATATATAATTCCATCTGAGATAACACTACTTACTTCTAGGTTTTCTTTGAAAATTTAACCTTCAAACTATTGAGTCTATACTATTTAGTTCTCATGTTATGAGTCTTCAATCACACACTAGATTTAGGTGTTGATTGAAATAGTCATTTTAACAACATTATACATTTCAGTAATAAATTCAACAATGAAAAGTGTAATGAACCAAAATATTATGTGTGTAAATATCTTACTTCTCATTTGACAACCATGCAAGAGTTTCTGAGTTGAGAAATTATAGTTGATTGTCATTTTAGTAAGTTTTTTAAACATGGATTGTGTTATAATCAATGACTATACAGATGCTTTTAAATTACCACTACGTTACCTTTATTAATCATGTTAGTTTAAAAGCAAAGATGGATAGTGACTAGCAGTGGAATCTAGGATGCGCGTTTTGTCCAGTTTGGGACTCGTCAGCTGGATTAACCTGTATCTCAGAGTTGTTGTTCACTCTGTGACTCGAACCCAGTACCATTCACTTCAAACGCCATCGCGTTATCCACTTAGCTGCTGAGTCCTGAGATGCAGGTACATCCAGCTGACGAGTCCCAAATGGAACGAAACGCGCGTCCTGGATTCCACTGCTAGCCACTACCCATCTTTCCTTATAAAGCTTGTGACTTCAGGCAATATTGAAGCAGTCCGCATAGGATGTACATATACCAACAAGAGACTGATCAACTGTAATCCACATTAACAATCAGAAGATACAGGGAAACAACAACAAGTGAATACATGTTAGTTTAGTTTTTAAATTACTGTTTTAATTCATAGACTGATAGGTTCAAATGGTATTTGAAAAATAAAATGCTAAACCTTGTCTATTTGTTTCCTAATTTAGCTGAAACCTATCTAAACGTATTTAGAAGAGATTAAATTCAACTATTTATTAATGATGGTTAATGAACTATAACATGGAATGCTTCGTTATAATCATAATTATGAATATGTTCATGTCATCATGTTAAGTAGTCTAAGCATTTAATGAAAAGTAGCATATCTTTGGGTTTCATTCTTTTTAAAAAAAATATTTTTTAATCGATATTTGCCCGATAATCATTTCTCATCATAAAAATAAATTAAAACAGATTAATCTGATAACAATGTTATTTATTGAATTCACTTGGTATTGTTTGTTTGGATCTTCCCATCGATGTGTTTCGGACTGCAACTGGTCAGTCTCTAATTGGCATATGTGCATACTGTGCGTATTGCCTCTATATACCTTAATTCACAAGCATGGTAAGCAGAGATGGATTTATTTGTTATTTATTTGTTATTTAAAAAAAATGATTATGGTTGTTTTATTTTTTGAGGGCATGGAGTTAAAAAGTTTTCATAGTTGATAGCGTGAGTCAGTTGAAGCTAGACTACGGTGGAAAACTTGGAGGCACTGGACGGCCAACTCGTCCCATTGTGGGACTACACAGCAGTACGCATCCACGATCCCGTCTCGCGAGATTCAAACCCAGGACCTTCCAGTCTCGCGCCGGCTAAGTGGTTTATCGGTTAAGTGCTCTGGCGCGAGACTGGTAGGTCCTGGGTTCGAATCCCTAGAGGCGAGATCGCGGATGCCTACTGCTGCGGAGCATCACAATAGGACGAAACGGCCGTTTAGTGCTTCCAGGTTTTCCATAGTGGTCTAGCTTCAATTGACTAACGCTTTCAACTAGGAAAATGCTAAATCTCCACAAAAAACCACTACTCTGAAAAAGTTTTGTCTCATATTTTCAACTCACTTAGTACCAATCACAGTAAATTAGAATTTTTGATTATGTAATCTTTTGAGATAACAGAAAATACTTTTAAATGACTAAATAACTGTATATGTAAAAAATGTATATTAACTTCAAAATGTGTAGATTTTCTTGAAATTTAACCATTATGTAACCATTCAAATATTCAGATATTGTTTAAATAAATATCTACATAGTGGTGTGGGTAAATTATATCCACAGAAGTAGTGTATAAGGATGGTCGGGCATTGGATGTAGTTCAGTAGAAGATCGATAATGTAAGAACCGGAACGGAACGCAATTGGTATGAAAATGCATAAACAATGAAATCAGAGACAATAGACTGATATTTACAGAACGAACAGTCAAGCTTGAGACAATTGATTAATAGTTTTCAAATTAAATGTTTACTGTATGGCTGTCAGATTTTACTGAGATATTCTGTAATTTTGTGCCTAAATACATTCGATTGTTCCTAATAATGTTCTTGTTCATTACAGATTAGTGGAATAAACCTAATAACTAAGTTTATTCTATAGTTTGAAGTGTTTGTTTTATCGTTTTCATTTTGTTCAATGGTTAAATTTAAAACCTATTAGATTAAAAATCTAAGTCTAGAAATGATCAAGTGCGAAAGTATATTCTGAAATTTTATGTTTGAATACTATACGTAAAATATTCTTTTATCATCACAATTGATTGATCACTGGGTGGTGATCAATGTCATGCGTGTCAAGTCCTTCTTAGTGTTGATCGAATGCTAATGAATGCTACATCTCAGTCCTACAGGAGATTGGTCGCAGCCCGAATAGCTCAGTGGTAACGTCTCTGACTGTGAAGCTGAGTGACACGGGATTGAATCTGCC